AGTCTTTCTAAACCCTCAGACGAATGCGATCAGATTTTCAAATCCATTCGATGTATGTGTCTAAACCAGAACCTAATGCCCGAGTCATCATGTCATTTCGAAACAACAGCACAAGACAACAAAAAAAAGAACAATGGGTTCCATAAAAAGGAACCGAAAAAAATGGAAAAAAATAGTGATTGAAACGAAAAACACGGAAAAGAAAAAAAAGTAAGTGAATAAGGGGGGGGGGGGGGATGTGTGCGTGTTTTTTCGTTAAAACTTTATGCAAATTAGTACATAAGGTTTGACACGACATGAAAGAATAGGGATACCAAAAACAGCCCTGATAATTAACACAATATTTGCCGATGTATTTTTTTTCTTTGGACAAGCTAAGGGTTCTTAATAAAGAAGAGAAAAAAATAACGAAACGGACTCATCCCTTACATTGATAAGAATTTCAAAAATCTATTGTAGCGAAGGTTAATTATATCGAGAACAATTTGTTTTCGGAGTCCATTATATACCTCTCGGGGTTTAGTATGAAAATAACGTTAAACTTGTAATTTTTCTAGTTATTTTGTTGCAACGGTTAAATCAAACTTGTAGTTTTTCTAGTTATATGTTGCAAAGATTATCGAAGAGATAAGGATGTATGTATCACGCTTTTGACAGTTGATTCGTTGCCATTACGAAGAATAAAATTCGCTCTTTCTTTAAGATTCGTGCGGCTGCGGAGTATCAAAATATACCAACTCAGAAAAGTTTCTCTATTTTAATCCCTGAAATCAGTTCGGGGGTTGTTTTGCATTGTGCCCCAATTTATAGTAGATTTTATTTATACATATACATGTACATAACGTATTATTTATTTATTTATTATCATCATCATTATTATGCGTTTTGGTTGTCTTTGTTATTGTTCTTTCTACTCTCCTGCGTAATTTCTGCTTGCTGCTACTGCTGCCGCTTGTATATGTACGTACACTGTATTTGAGTGAGTTGTGCCGTGTCTATACATTACAACTTTACCTTGCCTTACCTTTTACTTTGCTTTTCCTGTTGTTAAAAATCTTAAAAAATTTAGAAAGCTTTCCGCATCTTTACTCCTTTTAAAAATAAACCAAATACACACGCTTCTTATTAGTTTTATAATTATTTATACAGAGTTATCACCAACCATCTATTACGTACTTTTCCATGACCTTCTCAGAGTTCTTTAAAAATCTCTAGTCAAATACTCGCGACGAATAAAATAAAAACTCATTATTCTAAAGCCAAAAAGTAACTCGAATAAAATAAAAAATTTGTTGTTTACTCCCTTTTTTTCTTTTGTGTGCATAAACTAGAAATTAAAAAAATACACTAAAATAAAAAATGTCAAGTTTACCAGCGACTCCCACATCACCGCCATGTACAAAAGCAAAGCCACTTAGATGTATCGTCTACCTAGAACCATCGTCAAGCTCAAGATTCTATCAGAGTATCGACGAATTCTTTGCACAGACGTATAAATTATTTGGAGCGAATGAAGCTCATCAGTATCATCCACATATATCCATGACCGGATTCTTTTCACTATATGATGATGATGAGGATGAACAAGAGGAAGAAACGATGATGACGAGGTGTTCGGATGTCGATAACAATAGTAACAGTAGTGATAATAAAGACGATGAGGAACATACTTCGTCAGATTCAGCCTCTGTTTCGACGATAACTCGTCATCATAATCATCCTCGACGACCACGACTAGCTGCTATAGAGAAATTAAATATAATTGTTGAGGAAATTGATAATTTTCTTACAAAGAACAAAGAAGAAATTACACATCCTCACGTAGAAGGAATTTTACTGGTGCCACCGGAATTGCCTTCAATGTCATATCCGTCCTCAGCAGCTTCATCCGCTCCGTCAACTCCTCGGTCAGCATCACCGATTGGTATTCCCTCCTCGCCAATTAGTCCAAAATCCCCGATACGTCAAGAGCAATACAAGCTTCATCGGCGTTCTTCATCACACTCGTCTTCCTCCTCCAGATCCTCGCAATCACGAGACACATTACAAAGTCTGCTAATCCCGATAAAAGCATGTCAAAAACTTCATGAATTTGCTTCACATCTAGCAAATTTTTCACGTAATGACCCAAGACTTGCACCTCCCTTACCAGCCTCATCGTCAAGTAGCTCATTTATTCGACGAAAGAGTATTAATCATATCTCATTAGCATATTGTGGCGATCGGTTTGCCAATCTGGATGGGGTAAAGGAACGACTGACTGGCGAAGTGATGCAAACAATGTTACGGATGGCGAAGGAAGGAATTGTGTTTGACGAGGTGAGAGAAGACGCGTTGCAGAAAGCTGCTTGGGATGTGGTAGTCTACGAACATGTGAAATCTTGCAGTCTTTTGGAAGATAGACATGTTTGGCGAGAAATTAAAAGATGGCGTGTTGCTGATGGTGTTTAATCTCGATATGTAAGATAATTTGGATCGAGAATTAGGGTTTGGATTGGCATCGGGATTGAAATTAATAGATATACAAGATAATTAATTGTTTATGAATTAACTATTACGGTTATCATTATTGTTGGTATATGTAAAACTTTATCTTTGATAGATTTATTTTGTTTTGCTGTTTTTTTTTTTTATTTTTTTTTCTTAGTATCCAACATTCACATCGCTCAACAATCTTTATTTAAAACATTGTCAGAATTACCGAAAATATATTTATAATTTGCAAATAATTTTTAGACATTGACGCTTACATACACTAGATATAGCAGTTAATTGATGGTATAACTGTTTATTAATAAACAATTCGAATATTAAAATAATATTGTCATTGAAATTCCTTTTTGAATTTTTTTCTTTTAAATTACCAGTAATATTCTTCCACAAGTACTTTGCAATAATTGGCTGTCAATTCATTTCCTCTGGGCGGCTAAATGGCGTGTGGCTGAGCTAACTAACCAACTTTGAGTTTCAATAAGTTATCTGAAAGCACCATGGATGAAAAAAAAGGCGATTCTCTGGTTCTTTGGTTAAAGTATGCATTTCGAGGGACTGTGCGGATCAAAATGCGGTGCGAGTATCGTATATTAATACTACGAATGTCATTGTTGTATTGCCATCCAACTTGACTGGTAATATAGACAGGACTTCCTTTAAATATGCGTGCGAATACTTTATTGTTAGATTTTAGAGTTACTTGTTTCATTTGTTAAGGTAGTTTTATATTTTTTGTTCCATTATTTTACACGCTCATGGGTTGAAGTGATCCATGTATCTACGTATTAGGTTCTGGTTTAGACACATACATCGAATGGATTTGAAAATCTGATCGCATTCGTCTGAGGGTTTAGAAAGACT